TCACAAATAAGCGTTAAAAAAAAAAAATTTTTTTTTTAAATACACCTGAGTGAGGGGTCTTTTCAGGGTGATGGGAATGTCTGGGAGCCAGACAGAGGAGGTGGCTGTGCATCGTGGCTGTGCCAAGTGCCACTGAATTGTTCACTTTAGCTGGTAATCTTACGTCCTATGAATTTCAAGTCAGTAAGTTATTTTAAAAATATAGACATTAAGTGGGTGCGTGTGTATGTATATATATATATATATATATATTTATATTTATATTTATGTTTATATACATGATTAAATATAAACCCAAGTATAATTTAGGTATTCTGAAATTGAACACAAATATACCAGAAATGTGTTTACGGACTGTTGGGTATACGGTCATATGAACACGCACTAATGCTTTGCCCGTGGGCACTGTTCTCCCGTGGGTGGGCCTTTGCTCTTCTGTGGGTGCAGACGGCTTATCAGGGAAAAGGCGCATTTAGGGGAACTTATAGCCCCGCTTCCCAGATGGCGACACCACCATACGCGCCCCCCCGTGGATGCTGGCTTGCAGGCTGGGATGTGGGGTTTTCAGATCTGGTTTTACTAAAAGTCCCCTGAAGTCTCTACTCCTCTGAGATGTCTCTGTCTCATTAAATAATAAGTCACACGGCCTGGGGGCCCTGACCTGCCTCACCTCATGAATGCTGACTTCCCTTTATGTTTTAGAGAGACATGACAGTTTATTCCCCGGGAATGGTTGCCAGGGGCAGACCACCTGATAACGATGTGATTAACGATGAATTAAATTATCATCACCTTTCAGCCCATCACGGGACAGGCTTCCAGACGTTGTGTGTGTATGCAGGCAGGCACGCATGTGTGTATGTGTGTGCGTGGGTGCGGGTGTGCGCGTGCTGGTTTGTGCACACGCCCACACGCGCTCTGCGGACCCGGGAAAGGCCTCCATGAAGGAAGGGGTGGGAGCGTGAGGCCACGGGGGCCACCCTCCACGCAGCTGGATGTGGACCGGGATCCCACACACGGGAGCACGTCTGGATGCCCCGGGGGAGCCCATTCATCAAAGAAGCTCTTGGAGGATATGTTTGCAGACTCCTTTGGAATGTGAATAATCATCTCCTGATTCCTATTTGGGAAATTAATCTTCTGGTTTCTTGAGGTGTGCCAGAGAATTCTGGAAGCAGGGTCAGAGGCTAATGCCTGTCAGAGTAGTCGGAAGCATACCTGGGGGTTGGGTAAGTGAATGATGACACCTCTGTGTAATGAAGCAGTGTGCATGCACTAAAAGCGAGGTGACAATCCACCTAGAAGTACGCTCCTGAAGATGCTGTTAGGCTAAAACAGCCAGAAAAAACCCGGGTTACCAAACAATGGACAGACTGTGATCGTATTTCTGTAATTTCTGACAGTCAGATTATACGTCGCTTTCTCGTCCGTACTTTTCTACGGCGAACATGCCTTGTTTATGTACTAACGGAAAGGTACCATGAGCTCATTTTTATTTAAAAAGAAAAGCATCGATCTTGAGACCCCCCTAGCCCCAGAGGAGGAAGACAAACCAAAGAGCCGCCCTTCCGGATTCATCTCTGCGATTGCCCTTCCCCGAAGGTGCCGCTGGCACCTGAGGTCTGGAATCATGTTGTGGGGGCAGGAGCTCGATCCACCCGTCCCTGTCTGTGGGAGAAGCAAAGCCCTCAGCTCTTTCCTTTGGCTCCTCTGTCACGCCCTCTCCCAGGACAGGTCACGCCCGCACCGCTTGGACACTTTGCACTTAGGAAGCCAGGGGCCAGACTGATGACGGCACCGAAGGTACATACCTCCACCTGCCCGGCCCCGACAGGCAGGTCAGGCGGACCAGGGGCACGAGACCACTGATCCCTGGAAGAGTCACCTTCAGTGCAATGACAGCTGAAACAGGGACGCCACCCCTCGAGGGTCCTGAGGAGGATGCGGGAGAACAGCCTCCACTACCAGCTGCGAGCCTTGGGGGAAGCCCTGGGCCTCTCAGAGCCCAGTCTCCTGCCTGGCCCAAAAAGGAAGGAGCTGGACAAGATGGTCCCCGGGGCCCTCCCGGCTCGGACGTCCCATGGCATTCTAAGGGTGTGACATAACGTGACACAGTATGACTTACTACTTTGACACCAACAGGGCCAGAGCATCACCTTCTTCCCATTTTCCTTATATTTCAGGTTAGGGAGGAATTTTTAAGACAGAAAGTCTGCTTGGAGCCCCCCCCCCCACCCCATCTCACGCACACGTGTGCACACAGGCAAATACTGCAGCTCAACCTCACGAAGGCGTCCAGTGTAGACTCTGAACCAAGGACACAGGCAAGCCCCAGTGATGACACCCTCACTCAGCCTCCTGGGACCCGGGGCGCCCAGCTCAGAGGCCCCACTCTCTGTTCTGCACGAACCTCTTGCCCAAGGAGGCGAGTTGGCCACGGCTGCTTCAAGGTGGTCCACGGACAAACCACTTCTGTGCTTCACACACTGAGCAAGGGTCAGAAGCCCCAGAAGGTGTGAATTCCAGTCGCGGCCCCTCCTTTCCTGCCCCCCGGGGCCTCATCTGCAGTGGGGATGTGTGAGGGGCTCAACCACAGCAGTGGATGTCAACACCCTGCGGACTTGGGGGCCTCTTATTGGAGCGAGGGGGCATCCCCTCCCCACCGGAGTCCTTCCCGTGGACCAGCGCGTCCCAGAGAGCAAGGAGCCTTGCTGTGGTGTCCACCACTGGCTGGACCACCGACGTGCTCCGGTCTTCATTCATTATCTTCCCTTTCCACCTGCCCCAAGTCCCCCCAAAGCAGAAACGGACAAGAGGCCCTAAAAACGTCCAACGAATGACCCGAGATGCCAGAGACGCTGAGCTGTCGCGACAGGGCTCGCTCTCGGGTTCCGCGAACACGCACGTTCCCAGTGCCCCCAAGTCCTAACGAAAGGCACAGTCCCGTCCCCCTGTCCGCCTGCCTCAGACGGAACGCAACGAAAGCGGGCTCAGTGGCCGCCCCTCCAGCCTGCCCTGAACTGAGCAGAGGGAAGAAGCGTTTGGAAAATCTGCCCCGTCAGCTCTTTCCGCCTCTTCCCTGGCCAGTCTCTCCCTCCCACTCAGCCAGTGTGTGGGCCGGGGAGGCGGCAGGGCGGGCATGCGGCTCTGAGCTAAATAAACTCCTGAAAGGGCAGGGAGCCTCCACTGGGCTGTTTTTCAGACTCGAATTCCACCGAGTGCAACTTAAAAAGGCCTTTCCACCTGTTCAGCCTGAAATCCCTCTCTGCCCTGGGCAAACAGCTGCCCTCCGAGGAGGAGACGTGACCGGCAGGTGTGAGCCCAGCTGGCCATCCAGCTGTCAGGTGGACCCCGGCGTCCGGCCCAGGCAGCGGCAGGAGGCTGCCCGTCCCCAGGTGGGAGCCTTGGCTGCCGCCAAGGAGCGGGGTGGCAGTGACCTCCCACCCGCAGGAGGACGAATCCTGAGTGTCTCCTGACTGAGTACCAGGCTGAGAATGAACAAGACAGGGATAGAACCATTCCCTGGCCCGAGGGCACTCTGCAGTGTCAGATGAGGACTCCCTCGCCCAGGGGCAGCCTGCGCGTCTGTGCAGTGTGCCGGCCGCAGACACTTTGAAATTCGGCTGGGAGCTGACCCTGGGCACACCTGTCTTTAGGGAGCTTCCCCGTCCCCTCCCTGCTCTGTTCCCTGGGATGCCACTCTGTTTTCACAGGCTAAACTGTTAACTCAGGCTAAACTACCCTTGCTGCAGACCCGGGGAATGGGGGAGAAGGCAAGGAGAGACTCGTCTTGTTCAGTGACCACCCCAAGGGCCACTCCCTCCTTCTCTTCCATGCTGTAGGTGCACAAGGTCACCAGCGAACACCAACAGAGAAATGGTAGCGGTGGGAAGGGGGAGGCAGGAGAGCCAAGATGCACCCCCATCTCCTTAGCCACCAGATGCACCCAGGTCACATCTGAACCCCTTCCTCCGCCCCACCTGGGTGGCGGCCTTGCCCACCTGTGCCTCAACCATCCCAGCTCCCTGGAAACCCAGAGCACTGCTCCAACGCCGGTCCTCACACCTGCCAGCCAGGCATCGGACCGCTGGTCGGAGGAGGACAGGCTGGGTAAAGGGAACCCTGGGCCCCTCTGGGCCCCATCAGCCACCAGTCTTGGAGAGTCTGGGCGAGAGTTTGGCCCCTGGCCCTCTTAAGGGAGTTTTCTTTTATATTTATTAACCCACTTTCTCTCTTGGCACTCGGAGCAGCGAGGAAGCCTCAGCCAAGGCTATTAATAGGTGGAGGCCATCCCTGGGGAGGAGAGTGAGCTCATACCTATGGCACAGGTGCCAAGCATAATAAAGGTTTCTGAGTCTGTCTAAATATAGGCTGCGGCCACGTTGGGGAGCAGAGGGCAGGCCTCGGGGAGCTGAGCACAGTCTTCCCTGTCGCCCCCCACCCCTGCTCCCTGGGCAGAGCTTCTCGAAACCTGTGCCAGCGCCCGGCCCTGCCGGAAAAAGACCCTGGCTGTCACACGGTGCCCCCACTCCAGGTCAGACCTGGTGGGAGATGCCAAGGAAGGGATTTGCAAAATGGCATGCAATATAAATGACTCCTGTAAACAGAGAGTTTAATAAAAAGGCAGTGAGGGAATTTATGGGCAACCCAAGGATGATTAAAATTATTTATCTACTTACCTCCCTTGCTGGCTGATCAGTCTATTAATTATCTATTATGCACTCGCTGATTTGCATTTTAGTAATGGGACTGAGTAAGGACAGGCAGGAAACACAGAAGGGTTCAGGAACCAAGCGGCGGGGGGAGGGGCGGACCCTCCTCTCTACCAACCACGGCTCCCCCAGCTGACGCCACGTTGACACATTGCCGAAGTGCCACGCTGCCGCCCACAGCGACAGCCACTCCCAGCCCCTGGGCCCCCGAGAAGCCCCGATCCAGGAACCTGGATCCAGGAACCAGCTCCGGGTGGAGCAGAAAATTCGACGTGAGGGGATGCGCACCTGTTTGCCGACGGAGAGCTCCTGGGACAGGTTCCCGGCCGAAGGGGTCTGCAGACCAGCTCAAGGGAAATGCTGGCAGAATCTTCCTCTGGCCGTTCTGACTTAACGCTGCATTTAGAAAAGAAAACACGAGAACAAAACCATTTTCAATCTCTGAATATCTGGAGTGCATCAGACACACGCTCTCCCGCGCTCTTGATTAAAAATATCACAGGACAGAGTGTCATGGGAACGGCATCGTTTCAACGCTGCAACCAAGGAGCATTGGGCTGGGAGAAGTTATAACAAAGCGTCCCTGCTCGCCACCTCGAGGTTCCCAGCCACTCACAGCCCTGCTGCTCTCTTGCAGTGAGACGCACAATATCAGACAGGCTCTGGGACCCGTGGGGAAGGGGGCCCACAGCCCATGGGGTCTGGCTGTAAGGTACAGACCTTACAGTTTATCTAGACCTTCACCCTCGCTCATCAAAATCTGCTGGCTCACCACAACCAGCCAATTCCTTGAAACAAATCTCTTTTCTTTATCTATCTATCTATCTATCTATCTATCTATCTATCTATCTATCTATCTACATCATGTATATCGTATAGGCATAGGTAGATACAAATATAGTTGTAGATGATATAGATATAGATAAGACAAGTATATTGATAGAAAGATGGATGGAGGGGGGAAGGGAGAGATGAATAAATGGATGGATGGATGGACAGACAGATGGCTGGATGGACGGACAGATGGGACGGGTGGATGGATGGATGGACAGACAGATGGCTGGCTGGCTGGCTGGATGCATGGATGGATGGACAGACGGACGGACAGACGGATGCATGGATGGATGGGTGAACAGACGGATGGGTGGATGGATGGACGGACAGATGGATGGCTGGATGGATAGATGGATGGACGGACGGATGGATGGACGGACGGACGGATGGACAGACAGACGGACAGATGGATGGCTGGCTGGCTGGCTGCATGGATGGACGGACAGACAGACGGATGGACGGATGGACAGATGGATGGATGGGTGGACAGACAGATGGATGGGTGGATGGATAGGTGGATGGCTGGATGGCTGGATGGATAGATGGATGGATGGATGGATGGACAGACAGACGGATGGATGGATGGACGGACAGATAGATAAACAGCTCCCATTGGTCCTGTTTCTCGGGAGAACCACAGCTGATTCAACGCCTCTGGGGTCTTTCCAGCTTGCACTTCCAGAGGAGTTGGGCCCCTCGATGGAGTGGAAAGGGCAGAGGAGGCAGCAAGGGGCCAGCCATCCCTTGGGGGCAAGGAATGCAGGGTCACGAGCCCAGGAACGCACTGACCCTGAGTCTCTTGTCAGCTGATGTCCCAGCCCCTGGCACCAGCTTCCTCTTGAGTCTCACAATCTGCCCCCCCCCCCGACCCCCTGTCAGAGCAGGGCCCCCTGGCACTTGCAGGACAGTTGTCTCCACACCCTGTCCGCTGTGCCCCGCCCAGTGCTGCCCCCCTCCCCCCCAGCACTGCTTCTCAGTCCCAATGATGTATCAATAACCACAAAGCAAAATGCCACAGTTACCAGCACCACTGTACTGTGACGAATTGCTTTCAGAATCGATTGGTAGGGTCGTGTGTGTGCAGCGAGGTGGGGCCGCGTCCCAGAAGCCGAAGCGGCCCCCGGGAATTAGGCACACCAGGAAAAGTCCCAGGAGACAGAGAAGGAGGGAGAATGTAAGGGAGACAGGAACAGAGCCGATCTTTAAGAAGAGGGACTGGAGGGGCGCCTGGGTGGCGCAGTCGGTTAAGCGTCCAACTTCAGCCAGGTCACGATCTCGCGGTCCGTGAGTTCGAGCCCCGCGTCGGGCTCTTGGCTGATGGCTCAGAGCCTGGAGCCTGTTTCCGATTCTGTGTCTCCCTCTCTCTCTGCCCCTCCCCCGTTCATGCTCTGTCTCTCTCTATCCCAAAAATAAATAAACGTTGAAAAAAAATTTTTTTAATAAAAAAAAAATATATATATATATATAAAAAAAAAAAAAAAAGAAGAGGGACTGGAGATTCTCAGTGACACAGACAACAAGCATCCTGAGTCTAGGCTGGGCGGAGAAGACACCACAGGGCATGGCCTGAGGACCTCTGATGGGGACAGGGCGCAGCAGGCAGAGGGTGGACAGCCAGACCCACCTGGAGGGTGGATGGCAGCTGGCTCTTGGGTGACAGGACCCTTCCCAGGATGGGGACATGCCACCCGTCCCAAGTAGCATGTCAGGCTCAGGCCAGGAAACCCTCCTGCTCATGAACTTGAGATTTTATTGGGTTAACAAACTGCGTGGTTGCCGTGGTCTGGTCCTCCTCGAGCCCGAGCCCAAGCACACACTCCTCCCTGGGGAGGAGGCAGCGGGAGAGACAGGACCAGGGGCTTAGGGCAATGAGGGCACCTGGAACCTTCTTATGGCTATGTGACCCTTCCAGTAACTCTACAGGGAAACAACCACACACTGGCCTGGACCTGAGCCCAGGGAATCTGGCATGAGATGCCTTGTGATGGCACCCTGTCCCGGCTCTTGCTACAGTGGGCCTCTGGGTGACTGGGTTTCCCCATCTGCACTGCGAGCTCCCTCACAGCTAAGGTCCTTATGCACAGCCCTGGGAAACCCTCCAAAGCCCACTGGGGCAGGCTCATGGAAGAGGGTAGGGTGGGCAGCTCCAGGGGCCGATTCAGCAGCGCCAGAGAGGGGACGGGGGTCCCTGCACTTCCAAAGCACGAGTCTGGGGACAGAGCAATGGCGAGGTGGTGCACAGGCTGCTACGCATCACTCGCTCACTTTGTCTTCACGTCCTGGGCCCGTTCACCTCTCTCTTCCCAGCTGGGGTCCTCGCCCCAGACGCCCTGGGTATGGGAGGAGCAGAGAGGCCTGGCCTGGCTTGGGAGGGTCCAGCAACACCTTCGGGGCAGGGAGGGCATGGCCGGCCTCTCTTTGCCCCTGGAGATGCCACGTGGAGTGTGGATTTGGCCTGAGTGTGGCTGCCTGTATGCTTGCACCACTGGCCGGGTGCCTGTGCCTCCTGTGGGAAATCCCTGGGGGCCTGTGGCTGCAGCACCTCCCCCAGGTCTCCAGCCCTGCAGACGCCCCCAGCCCAGGGGACGCCCCTGCCCGTTCTCCCATCTCCAGCAGCGGAGGGCTCTGATGGCCAGAGAGCCTCCGAGGGCAGCAAAGGGTCAGGCCCTGAACACAGCTGCTCAGCCTGTCACCGTGGAGGCCGCGGGTCAGGGTTGCTCGTGAAGTGGGGTCCAGGCAGTGGGGGCCCAAACGCTGGTAAACGGTTTTCTTTCTCCCTCCCTCCTTCCCTCCTCTCTTTCTCTCTCTTTTTTACAAGTATATGGGTTTCACTTCTTGCCCTAAACCTCTCCAAGATACAGACTGCTCAAGTCCAGCTCGCCGACACACGGAGGAAAGACGGACGGGCACTGGGGACTCAGACGCGGCAAGGTGCTGTCTTTCAGTGCCTGAGTGGACACGCGCAGACACGCTGGCAATCCCAGGGCCGCTGAGGACAGCACGGCAGCACAGGTAGGTCCAGACACGTCGGAGGGCTGGGACCAGGGCCCGGAACTTTCTGAGACCCAGCCACTCACTGCCCAGGTACACACACATCTCCTGGACACATGGAGACAGGCTCCGGGCCCCGCTGGGTGGCGCTGCCCCCAGTGGAGTGCTGACAACCAAGTACCCATCAAGGAAAGGGCAGATAAAGACAGAGTGGCCGATTCCTAAGGCAGGTGTCCACACAGCAGGTAAAGGGAATGGGTCGGAAACACCTACGTCCGCGGGAAGGAGCCATGAAAACACCACGCGGAATGAGTGCAGCAGTTTCCAGAAGGATGTCACGTATGTGCACTTTAAAAAGACATAGAAAACTATCTATTTAGTGTTCACGGTCACGTGTGTGTAAATGTTTTCTCCAAAGGACAAAAACAGCGGATGCTGAATCTATTCCTGGGTGCGAGTGTTTGGGGGGCACGGGGTGAGGCTGGGAGCGGGCAGAGGGGATCGAACCTGTCTACACTGCTTCCTTCATTTTTATTTTTTTAATTTACTTTTTTAACTCAAGTTAGTTAACATACAGTGTAGTATTGGTCTCAGGAGTAGAATCCAGTCACTTACAAACAACACCCAGTGCTCATCCCAACAGGTGCCCCCCCCTTAATGCCCATCCCCCATTTAGCCCCTCCCCCCACCCAACTCCCCTCCAGCAGCCCTCAGTTTGTTCTCTGTATTTAAGAGTCTCTTACGGTGTGCCTCCCTCTCTGTTTTTATCTTATTTTAAAAGACGATGTAGGGGGCGCATGGGTGGCTCAGTCTGTTAAGCGTCAGACTCTTGATTTCGGCTCAGGTCGTGATTTCATGGTTCATGGGATTGAGCCCTGAGTCTGGCTCCACACTGACAGCTCAGAACCTGCTTGGAATTCATTCTCTCTCTCAATCTCTCTCTCTCTCTCTCAAATAAACAAACCTAAAAAAAAAAAAGGCAACGCAATATAGCTACATGTTAACTGTTGTTAATTGAGGGTGGAGGAACACAGTTATTATATTTTGCTTTAATTATCACAATTCTCCAAATTTTCTTTGGATGAGGGTGTTTGGGTCGTGAGCCCCTTGAGGGAGTGAGAGATACTGATGCCACATGAGTGGCACGCAGCCAGGAGGGCGGCCCTCATGCACTCCGACTCCACAGACTCGCCGGTGGCCGGGAGGGCCAGACTGATGGACGGAAGGCACCAGATTTTCCTTGCCACCCTCCCTCCATTTAACAGACGATGAGCTAGTCTAGAATTGCTCCCTCAACTGTCCGCGAACGTTTTCCTTACAACCAGCCTGAGCCGACAGAAGTCTCGTGCACTGCAAAGGGAGGGCCAGGGTGTGGGGAGGGAACCATGTGCTGGAACATTCTAGACTCTGGATCACCGGTGTTTCCTCTGCTCAACAAATGCAAGGAAAAGTCACGATGCCCTGGGGCCCGGGGTGACGGTCTTCTGAGCAAAGCTTCCTATCTCTGGCAAGCAGACGCCTTCAAGCAGACAAGGAAACCCGAGCATTACGTGAGAATGCATAGACGAGTT